ATGTTTTCTTCTTCTTGACAGACTGAGTTGGAAGTGGGTGGGGGCTTTGGACACTTGGAGTTAAATAGTCTGTAAATAAGATATATGGTGTTTTATTAATAGTATGCCTATACCACATGTTGGCACACAAACACACAGTTGAAACTCATTTAGTCCAGAGTTGACAGAGCTGCAGAGGAGCATGAGGTCTGCTGAGATGATGATGATAATGAAGATGATGGTGGCAGGGTCTCCGATGTGTCTGGAGGTTACAGTCCTCTAGTGAATCTTGGGTGCAGACCGATCATTCGTGACCGTTGGTCTCAGCTTCACTGTTGCAAACGGATTGCCCCCCCTGAAGAAAGTACACAAAAAGACATCTTAGACGCAAGGAGTCCCAAAAATATTTAACCTGTTTCAAGACATTTCTGACTGATTTGAAGATAATGGGGTAAATGCAGTTTTATTATCATATTGGCAAATTATAATAAAGAATGTGTTGAAACAAGTCAGAAACAAGTCAAAGTGAATTAATATTTCTACAATTTGCTAAACACTTACAATAAATATTAAAAGTAATTATTCGGAATTGAAGTTATTTTACTCATCTTGATATTAAATTAAGTTTTTACAGTGTTGCATGTCCCACATTGAGGGAAACAAATGGGTGAGTTAAGTTAGTCTTGTTAGATCACTCACCCAAGAAAAGGTGCTTTTGCTGTCCCATTGACAAGAGTTACCTGTTGTGAGAAAATAGACAAGACAGACCCCTGGAAGAATTAGTAACTCTCCAACATAAAAGACAGCACCATTGCCCAGATCCACCACACACACACACACACACACACACACCCCACAGCTGGGATAAAGTCAGTGCTGCCAGACAGGTTTGATAAGGTGTCTCATTAATGTCCCCCCTCCTTTTCCGAGCGCCGCGCTGACATCCTGCACACTCCAACCTCACACACAGTTTGGAATCTCAACCTTCAGGAAAGGCAGGTTGAAAAAGTTCTCTTCACTCTCAACCAACGCTGATAATCTTATCACTTTTACAGAGTCAAGTGAGCATGGGATCACAGTTAAGTAACAAAGCTATACTAGTGAGTGAGTGTTACGGTTAACAAGCAACAAACCACCACTCAAGATGAAGTTAAAATATGCTGTTAAAGTTGCAGAAAGTTAATGATTTAAAATTAAGTTGAAGTTAAAATATTAATACAAATATACAATGCAAAGCCAATGTAGCCTTTACTGAAAATGAAGAATCTGTATGCATTATCTAAGAGTATGGTGCTGTTAGGTGAATGCTAGCCTGATAAAAAAAAAATAATAATAATAATATATAGTAACATAGTTTTTGAATATCTGTAGTATATATGCCACAGCACTTCATACCAAGTCAGTGGTTATGTGTATGTGCACATCAAAAAGTTGATTATTCATTATCTGATTTCTGGAGTTATCATATTATTGAAATATCAGTTGCATCTTATATCATTAACCTCATAGCATACTTATCTAAGTAATTTAGAAAATACAAAAGTGAACTGCATGTGTCAGATGACTGGAGCGTTTCTTCCTGGTTTTCCACTTGTGCAGGTTTTGACAAGGAGAGTTATGCAAAACAAATGTGGCAAAAACATTAAATGGAAAAGATATGTTTAAAATTAACTGGCACATGTCTCCAGGTATTTTTTGATGATCAGATGTCCTTTTTGTAAATGTACTCATGAATAAAGCTACAATACATCCTGTCATAATCAGGTAGTGTACAAATAAGGCATTACAAGGCAATATTGAGTTGCTCAAACATTGTAATAATATATTGTTTGCAGGGTGTACGGCTGTATATAAACCCTAGTGACGTTTATTCAATACCAGTGCCCTGAGGCAGCAGATACAGAGGACACTGAGTGCAGCCAGAGAAGGAAAAGGTGATGATGAGAAAGATGAGAAGGAGCGTGTCCGGACTTGTCTGCAGCAACCAGCCATAGTTCAGTGTGGGTCAGCTGATGCGGTCCAATCGGCCTCAAAATTGTCCCTGCACCTTTTGTCCTCTCATGGTTTGTTCAGCCTGTCTGCTCTCTCCCCCTGTTGTATCACCTGTCAATATCACAGCTTATTCATATTCTAATGAGCACAGCACACTTCCTTTTACTGTAAAACTAGGGAGTGTTTTTGTTCTACTTTACTAAGCGAGTGTGGAGGCTATAACTGTTCGCTATGAGTTGATAAGGATTTTTGAGACATGGGTGGGGCAACTATGACTTAAGAAAATAAAATATTGATGTAAGATCTTAGTCAAACAGACAGCGGTAAACTTACATGGAGAGTAAAAATGGGATGACTAGAATAATCAGATAACACCGTAATTAGATCAGATTTTTGTGTGTTGCACATGCACAAATGAAGTATGATCAACCACAACGCCTGGTGACACATGTCTGGTAATCAACAGATTTTTAGAGTAGGGACTGTTTTTGAAAGACAAAGTACAGTGAATTTAAAAATAACTCAAGTTCAAACTTATTTTTTTTTTACATTTGCACTTTCATTTTTGTTTGGCTCACATTAGTTTGTCCTTTATTGCATAAAAAAGTGATAACAATGCAGGAGCAATCTGATTTCAGAAAGAAACGAGATAATAACAATAATAATAATTCAATAATCTGATAACTCCAGAATTTACATTTTGGTAGTACCTATTAGCCTAGTAGTTAATATTAATTACTATCATATCAGAAAGGATATTTAAGTTGACACAAAAACACCATAAGATACAACAAAGAATTATGTAATTAAAGTATCACTCTTCATGCATGTACATTATAAGAGATACCAATATGGAACTGTTAAAAATGTAGTTAAAACTATAAAACCTGCATAAGAGCTTTATGCATGGTTAGCTGATGTTACTGACCAGATTCTGTGCAGACTGTGCTGAGGTGATCATTGGCGTGGAGGGCAGCTCGTCACTATAGTCTGGTGGTGGCAACAGCACGGGGTCATTATGTTCAGGCAGACTCACCACGCTACCTCTATGTACAGGTGTGCTCTGAGAACTGTCACCAAAGACAGAAGATTAACAATGAGCATTGGAATAAGGCAGATTTTTTTGTATTATGATTAGATTTGCAATATATGTTTACATTTTTTTTATTCTGTTCAGCGTGTGCATTGTAAACAACTCCAGAAGCATTAATGGGCCTATATTATGCAATTTTCTGATCTGTTATAATGTTAGTTTCTCATCACAAATAGTTGTGTTTTGTTTCACCCACACATGTTTAACACACAAACTCTGCATATTTAGGCTCCACTGTGTTTTTAAATTCCATACACTTTCAACAGAATCATTTGGATTATTTCAGCCCTAGAATTGCCAATCTCTTCGAAACAAAAGGTAAAATGTAGCTCTTAACTTGAAAACCTCCACTTCATGACATCACAATGTAGAACAGAGCATTTTGAGCTTAGGAAATGTAGATAGACTAATAATAAAGGCTTCCTTAAACTTGTAAGAATGAACCAAAATATACCCAGGTGTGTTTTTGATGAGGTAACAACATTCTAACTTGGCTTAAAGCTCAAAAGAGTAAATTTTGCGTAATATAGGACCTTTAAAATTTGACTAAAAACTAATTCCAAAATTCCAAAAATGACTAGTTACAACAAGATCATATTACTCAAATTCCAATTTCAATTCAATTGCGTTATTCTGTCAGAGAAAATCATTTATATGGTGAGTTATGTTTGAATGTTTACCCACCTGTTAGATATGAATGACTCAGTGTACGGTCTGCAGTACGAAGAAGGAAACCAGCCGCGCCTATGACAACACAGAAAAGCCACGTTTATGTACATAGTCACTGAAATTGATTCTTCTACACAGCAACGGGAATTATGTTAAGTACCAGCATTAAGGGAAAAAAAACAAAAAACAATAGCCTATATCATTTTCAACTGTTCAGCTTTTGTGAATAACATGTGTGGGATATACAAGATTTCCTCTCCTAAGACAGTGGCATTTGGTCAAAGTCACGTTTGGAGAAATGGCTTAACAGACCAAAGCAGATTTGTTGCTTGGAAACAGAAGTGTGTTGATTTACACGAGTGCGTTGGTCTGTTTTCTACATCACAACCCGTCATGTGCTTTGTTCAAATCAGAAAGAGCAATAATTATACACATATACCTGTTTAAAAGCCTCCTTGTCTGTTCATATTGCTACAGTGAGGAAATGAATTGCTTTTTATTAAATGATGAGCCAATTTGACTGCTTAGCTACTGTGTTGTCTCATAGCAATCATCGTCTTTTGTTATTTAAAAAAAAAACAAAAAAAACATTTTTTTCTGCTCAATCAGGAAATGTACGACTGGCAGATGAAACGATTGTTTAGCTGGATGAATATTAAATACTAGTGTCTGTGCCAAACTTAAATTCTATAGGCATACTATCACTAACATTTTTTGAAGTGCAATATAATGCTGAGGAATACATACACTATAATCTAAGGGTTTCCTAGCAACAATTTAAATTAAATCATTTATTTACAGTTGGAGATTGATCAGGAAATATAACGACCATGCAGGAGTTTTGTATAGTGTGGTTAGGTAAGCAGCAGCACAAGGGTTTATGGCTCTGTGTCATGTCTAAAATAGCTGACATATTTCTAAGCATGATGAATTAACAGAACAAAATATTAAACACAAAAGCACAAACTCGTACTGCCAGCTAAGAAATGCCAAATATGCCTGTGTGTGAGTTGCTGCTGAATACTTGTTGGAATGAAAGTACATTTCCTCTATTGGGCGTGCCAAAGCTCAGGTTTGGATTAGGCGAAATTTATTGTGTGTGGACTTTGATACTTTCAGCATAGATATGGTGGAATTTGGTGGTGGTTTAACTGACAGATTGCTGATTTGTTGACCTGGTTATCATTAATATCTCTTGTAATTCCTGGGCCTATCCACAAGAAACACTGGCTACCTTTTAACATCTTCTCTGTCAGTGTAAATAAGCAAAAGTTGTTTTTTTCCACAATAACTTCAAAAAGTGGTGCCATAATTCAACACAATTGATACAATTGTTGTCTGTTAAAAGTAGCCTACTCCTATTTACAATCCCAGGCCAGTCTCAAACAAAAGATGATCTGGTATCATAAACCTTGTGTATCATAAACCTTCTTGCAAAAGTGTGAATCTCCCATAAAGATATAAATGCTCCTGCCCTCTATATGAAAATAAGACACCATAAAATTTTAAAATGGAAACACAACCAATTGTAGTAAACAGAATGCCTGGTGTTATCCATTAGATTTTGTAATAAGGAAATATAGTCTTCTGATCTGTTATATCTCTCTTGCAGCATATCATTTTGAACAATTTGAGTGTACACAGGTAAACGATGTAGTCTAATACATGAAATAAATGGGAAATGCCACGTACTGTCCAGTCTTCTCCAGCTCCCCATACCGCCAGCCATCCTTCTCTTCTGGGATGAGGAGGATGATGATGTCCCCTTCATCGAAGCTGAGTAGCGTATCGTTATTGCCGGCTGTGTGGGGAAAGATGGTCCTCACGCGTGGCTTCTGAGATATATTGATACCTGATGACTGGGATGTAGATCTGGACAGGTTACATTCTCCGAGGCTGCTCTGGTCTGCATTAACAAAACACATTAGTTATAATATTATCAAATTATTATATAGTTCCCCAGTCATTTGTTGGTAAGTACAGTGCAAACATAAGGCAGATTTAGTCAGTACCTGAGTTATGGTCTGGCGAGGATGGCAGAGAAAACATGGGCTCCTGGTTGAACATGTTAGCAAGTGGACTGATCTGAGCTTTTAATGGTGGCGCGGGAGGAGGGATATCAATATTGTTCTGAAATAACACAGAGATCTTATTAAGATAAAGAATACCATCGAGAATACAGCAGTAAGTATAATCACTCCTATCAAGTGAATGGGAACAAATTGAAGGAACACGGTTAAAAGGCTCATTGGGTAGTTATTACACTGGTGTAATGAATTGCAGTGGGAGCCTATAATCTCCCTCCCACACAGCAATAAATAGTCTGAGAAAAGAACTGAAAGTAGTCAGGATTTCCATTGGCATGTAGCCAACTAAAGCCATGCTACAACTTTGAAATTTTGAGATGCATTTATTGCTGCTTATTAAAAGTAGTTTTCAATAAGACAGTATTCAAATTGTTGTTTTATATTACTATGAAATTACAATATCAAGACTGGACTACAAAACACTTCTGAACTGAGAAAACTGAAAATTGTAAAAATAAATATATATTAAAAAAAAAAACCTGACACCTCCAAACAAAGTGATAATGTGATATTAAGTTTTGTGTGAGTCTTGAACTTCAACTAGGCTTGTTAGAAGTAAATTTTTGCTTTTTTATGGAATTAAAAAATTTAATCAGATTATTGTTATCAGGAGACTAAAAGCATATGAGGATATCCCATGTTGTCAATTATAACCCACCCCCATGGCTTATACTTACTATGTTGTTGCGCTGCAGCACAGGTGTTGCTTGTGGTGTAGTGGCCAAATGCTCGATCATATCTGATACTGTTTCAGGGACCTCGCTGATGTCTGAGCACTTCTCCTGCCAGCTGGGGAAACGGTCCAACAGAATCTCTTTGGCCTGAAACATGACAGAGAGCAAATTCTTTTTTTGTTGGTTTGTTTGTTTTTTGGGTCAATTTGCTCTCTCAACATATATGTTTCATATGGAAATACCAAAATTATACAATCTGTACCTCAAGATGCATTCATATTTAATTTAGAAAACTTACGTCCATGGATTTCAATGGGAGTTTTCAAAATGCATTTTTCCCAGATAAGGACAATCCCTAGCACATACAAAACCGAACTTTCTGATCTTCTACTCAATAAGATTTTTGACTGATTGGAAGATTTGTTGATATCAAATTCTAAGCTTGATTTAAAGTTTACTTCCAAAAAAAAAAAGGCAAAATTTGAATAATTTTTTTTTTTTTTTTTGGTATCTATTATTATTAAAAATTTAAACCTGTCTAACCATTCTTCAGATTTATATGTCCCATGCTATGCTATGTTTTAGCATAGCTAGCTATAGAAAAACATTATATAATCTATATGGATATAGAAAACATTACCTGACAAAAAAAAAAAAAAAAACTTATATAAACATTTTTTTAACTACAGAAGAAGTTTCAAATTGATATCTCTGAATTCATATTACACTATTTTCTTATCTATGTCATAATGTTGTTTCCTCATCTAAAACATACCCAGAGTTATGTTTTGTTTTATTCACACATATTCAACACACAAATCCTGAATATTTAGGCTGAGTTCTTCTCACACACAAAAAAACACTCTGTTCCACTTTGTGATGTCATACGGAAATACAGGAAGTGCTCCACTGCTCTTTAAAACTCAATACTCTGTCACTACAATAATTTGGATAATTTCAGCCCTGGAATTACCAGTCTCTACTGAACTAAAAGTAAAGGTAGCGGTTAACCTGAAAACCACAGCTTCATGACATCACAAGGTGGAACAGAACATTTTGAGCTGATTTTTTTTACACATGTTTGAGATTACTCAAACATGTGTAAAACAAAACACATCTCCATGTATGATTTTGATGAGATAACAACATTCTAACATGGCTTATTGCTCACTAGTCCATTCTGTGTAATATAGGACATTGAGGATTACAGTACTGTGTGGAGATGGTGTGTGGCTGTTGTTACCTTGTCATGGAAGTTGCTCATCTGATAGGAGAACATGCAGTGTTTGTCCGCCAGGAAACAGAATCTCCTCTTCTCTTCCAACAGGGCCTCTCTACAGCCGTCGGCAATAAACTTCTGCATGTCCATCTGGCGTGACGAGATGGTCTCCAAATACTACACACAGGGTTGAAGTCAAATGTCAGAACCATACACACAGCACTCAATAATAATGTCAGGCAAAATATGAATTAATTTGGTGTGTTTTTCCAATTGACACTTCCACGCTCTTGTTAAGTAGTACTGCAAGAAATTAACAGAAAATGCGTTTTTAGGCAGAAATGTGAATCCACAGGGTATCAATTAGAGGAAACAGGAATTGCTTTAGTTAGTAACACAAGTGGATGTGACTGTTGGCGGGTCCCCAATGAGTAAAAACTGATTAGAGCCTAAAGCTAAACACTGGCAACACATAAATGATTCTCTTTAACTGTAAAATCTCCAAATACATGAAAATAACTTGTAAACAATGAATATGTACATTGTATTCACACAGTGGTAATGAAATAAGCAACGTATAACTCTTGCAGTGACTCTTTGACCAAGTGTCTTTATTGTACACCCACTCCCCATCTTCCCCAGGTCGTCATGGTGATGATAAAGCAGTCAGTCTCCAAGGGCTCTTCCGCAAAACATTTACTACTGTCTGTAGGCTGTTCATATCACATTCTATATTTATTTTTCAAATATATATATTTATTTTAGCCATTTTTTAGCACAGATCAACTAAGGTGACTTTTTTCCAACAAACCAAAAAGTGACAGCGTTGTCAATCTCAAAGGCATAGTGACCTAAGCTGGACCCCAATTTCAAATAATCATTTTATGGTTCAACCACCATGGATTTTTGTTTCATAGCTCAAAACCTTGCTGCAATATTGCTTTCCATATGACATTATGACATCACAAAATCTATTAATCCTTATTCATTTTTTTTTTTACAATAGTCAGCTGACAGGTGGTAGGAAAGAGTTTCCAGAGCTCATCTTAGGAGGGCTATCCAAGTTATTTATAGTTCGGTTTATCTTGGTTTTAGGTCTCATTTTATCAGGTAGTCAAAATCCATTCACACTTCTGACAGCGGATCAGTTTCAATTAATCTTTACAGTGCAGCTTAGCTCTCCCAGAGATAAAGAAGATCCACTGTGTCTTTAAAAGCTGCCATTCAGGTGCAAAGATAACCAGAGAATAGACAGAGCTGGTAACACATGCTGTGAGGAGAGAGAGATTGATTTCTTGAAAGAGTTTACAATTGACTGGAATTTTGATTACCAATAGGATCCAAAATGGCTTTATTCTCTATAAAAGCACAGACAGGAAAACAAACTCAACATGAGGTATTATGGTGGCAAATTTGCTTTTTCAGTTCCCCGTAATTTACAAATCAAATCCATCTGACAATGAGACTGCTATTTGGAAAGGACAAGAGAACAAGCACACTTTGGAAGTCAAGTTTCCATGCCAAGTACCACCTCAGAGAATGGTTGGCTTTCAAGTACCACGAGAACTAAACACCAAAAGTAAAACAGGTCTAAAACAGGACTATTCTAGTTCTAAACCAGGGCTAGGCCAGATCTAAAAATAGAGCCACACTATACAAACACTACAAACACTACAAAGACTACAAATACTGATTCTAAATTATAACAACTCTGTGTAACTTTGTAGAGTTTAAATTTCATCTGACTCCATGAAAATGGAAACTTAAATCTATACTTTGCAACCTTCATGGTGATAGACACATTTTATGCCATACTGTGGAATAGTATAGCTAAAACATAACTGCAATGGAAACAAGCAGGAGGAGGCCAAAAAAGTGTCAGGTTTGTAGGGATGAAAGCCCGCTCATAGTAAGGGCACATGTTCTTTCTGTTTTTCTCTGCAATAAAATAAAATGAAAAACAAACAAACAAACATGCTTTTATTTTTGTCTATTTTTGTCCATAAAGTTACAGTGGGGCTTTAAGGAAATATTAGCACTGCAGTAGAATATGCAAACCATCTTGCGTACCACAGTTTGCAAACCACTAGAGCATAACTATAACACTGGTTTAGTCACAGTGTAAACTGTCAAAAGACATCTCACTTTCTTGGACAATATTTGGAACAGTGCATTGGCACACTGTACTATCAGACACTTATATTACACAGCAATAACACTAAATTTCCAGTCCGAGATTATTTTAGCTCTCAATAGTTTACCTTGTTCATAATACATGGTGCAGCCAAAATATTTTGTTTTTGTTAGTGCATGCGCAAAATCTCATTTATATTAGTTTAAAACAAATCACCTAACTCTCAAACTCCCCTTCGAAACCACTAGACCAGACTAAATTTGTAAATAAGTTTTACATAGTGCGTCATAGAGGCTCCAGAATCATACCCACGCTTTATAAACACAACTAAAACTTCAAAGTCTCGCTGTTGTGTACTCGGGCTTTAGTGCACTTTTGTTTTGTTGCTAGCAGCATTAAATCCCATCCAATGCAAATGAGTTGGTCTTCTGAGGCCACATTTCCTTTTGCACATCTGTAAACAGCCATTACTATTCCGAACGCATTTCATCATCAAGTTTAGAGAGGAGCCAGGCCTGACATCTCATCTGTTCTGCTAAGGCTACAATCTGCCTCCTCTTGTGCTTTGGGAGTTGAGGTTTAAACAAGTCTGTCATCAGTGATTTGGCCCTTTTATATGGCACTACACAAAGTCAAAATGTGGAACCGTAGCTTTCACACTTCACAAACAACCATGCGTGTGAACTATTCAAACAGAAACCTCAAACTTGTCTGAGCATGAAAACATTTTAGATAGAGTTTTATATGACCAGACCCACCTCATTTTCTTTAATTTCATATTTGTGTGAGTGTTTTCCTTGGCTTTTCCTCCTCAGCTTCTTCAGGTCAGTCTGTGTGCGCTCTAGGGAGTCCTGCTTCAGCTTGTGTTCCGACTGATAGCGCTTAAATGTGGCCTGGAAAAAAAACAACACATTTTTATTTATATTAACTCAAGATATTATCAGTCTGGATTTAGGTGCTGGGACCTTTCACTACACTATAGACACTTACTCCACCATTCAATAAACAAATGGAGGGAAATTTGAAAAAAAAAAAAAAAAAAAAAAAAAAAAAGAAAGAAAGATGAGTACTATTATGAGAATAACTAGACTGAGCACTAGATTGTGGTAAATTTTTCAGTAACTCATAGACCTCAAATCAATTATTTATAGGTACATTTTAGCACATTTCTGGTGGATTGAAAAATGGTTTTGCAGCTGTTATCAAGATTATAGTAAACAACATACAACAGAAATAAATAAATAAATATATATAAAATATATATATATATATATATATATATATATATATTTATATATTTATATATTATTTATATATTATATATGTCATTGTGTTTAATTGTCCTATGGTATTTAATTATTTGTTTGTATTTGTTTATTTGTTTGTTTGTTTATAACCAGATGTATTCATGAGTTTATATTCATTATTCATTCATTTCATTTGTCAGGGCTATAGTTGTGTTACTAGTAGTTTTTTTTCCATTTAAGTGTTTCTCACATTCATGTACTTGACATCCATATCCGTCTTCTTCTCCAGTTCGACGATAATGTCTCTGTGAAACCTCCTCAGCTGCAAAGGGCAAATACAGCACACACAGTTCACAGATTGTCACCACATACATGCATTACAGCTGCACTAAACAAAATGTACTTCTGCGTCACATGGCTCAATGGTAACTCCACGATAAGAGCCGAGTGACCCCGAGGAATGTATGATAACATGTTTCTAAGGTGAAAAAAATCCACCTACTCAACATGGTGGCTTATAGTGGCCTGTTAAAGTTAAAGATTTACAACTTTTCCCCTGTTATTGTGTATTAGATAAGTCGTATCTGGTCACAAGGAAACTTTAATCACTGAAATATTTCATAGCAATACCTTGAACGCACGTCAGTTTTAGTTAAATTAAGCCAGGCACATTTGAGTTTTCAGATATTTGAAGCATTTTGGCCCGAGGCAGTGAGGTCAAGAATGATTCTGTAGCTTTTTTGACAAACTTCCGTTCTCCTTTACACTGTTATGATGCACTGAGTTTTGAAAATGAGAGGAATGGCATTATTAAGTAGCGAGGATGACGTGTGGAGAAACTGAGAAGAGAAAGAAACTGTCCATCTAGGGCTATTATCTAATGAGGGCTAATTGTGAGATTCCACAGACTGGGCCATGGTCTGGTAGTGACCTATGACCTTATAAGACATAAATAAGGCTGACGGGTTTGCAGTTGCTTGTGTTAAATGATGCTAGTGGAGAAGACTCACATTTTCTTCCATTTCATTGTAGATTTTTCGATGAGCTTCTGCGATCTCCATCAGTACTATACCTGCAAGACAAAAAAGAGGGGTTATTAAACTTTTGTGAAAAATCCCCCGATGCCCTAAAGTGGGTTAATGGAGTCACATATAGAGTTCGTCTCCAGTTATAGCTCACGAGTCTGGCAGTTATAGGGGCGAATTTAGAATCAGGCTTCATATTAGGAATAGGAATTCATTTACATACAAAATTTTGAAATAAAAACACCAGGATCATGTACAGCAGATTAATACGAACATCTTAATACTAAAATCATCAGGCTCACTGCAGCAGTTACAGAGAGAGAAGGGTAACAGTTTCTCAGTGTAAAGTCAGTTGAAGCTGATGGAGTTGATGGAGCTGGAAGTTACCCATGAACACTTCCTATTTGGACCGCAACAGCTAGTGGGTTAGCTATGTTCTGTGAGGGTTCTCCCTGCTCCTCCTACCCCTCCTTTCCCTGCTCCCTCTCACTGTATCTACTTACCTTGTTTGGCATTTCCTGGGTGGGCCCCAATCATGCACCTGCTGAGCTCCACTCCTGTTCTTCATCAAGTAATCATCTCCTACAATAAAAGACCTGCTGACCTGCTCTCCAGTGCCAGATTGTTCTGTTATCCCAGCAGTGAACTACTCAGGCTTTTTAAGATTTTTGAGAATTCCAGAGACTTTTTGATGCTTACCCGTTTCTTTTGTCCTATCCCCAGCACTTCATTTGGAGCCAGCCTCATCCCGTACCCACCAGTTTCTGTAAGCCTCCGGTCAGCCTCCATCTCTACAGACCTCCCATCTGCAGCCAACCCGGACCCGTCCTGCCTCCCCTGGAATCTATCCCCCCGCCAAGACTATTTTTGTGAAATAAATACTTTTTTCTCTCTGCATATTTGGGTCTGACCAGTAATTCTGTAATATGTTCATTTATATATACATTCTATTGGTACTACAGTATTAAAACTAGATAGTTGAATATGTATCAATACCCACAAAATCATATTAATAGAAGAGTTGGAGCTTATCTGAATCATTTTAGACTGGTCTATATCAAAATGAACATTAAACCACGTGGTAATATTAAAAAACTATTACAATTAAAATTACCTAAAAAATTACATTGTTTTTCATCACCACCTTGCTACTGAATATGGTTTGGAATATCAAGCCCTTTCTTCAGTATCAAAATAGAGTTTGTAATTGAAGTATTGTGACAACACTACTTTATTATAGCTAGACCAATTTTAAGCCGGTACCCCTACGCCCTTTTATCAAGCTTTGCCATCTTTTCCAGCTCGTCCAATATTTGAACAGCTGTCAATAAATAATCTAAAAAAAGGCTTTGGCATTGTGCGGTCAGATACAGAACAGTCTCCATTCAGCCCGGGCTCACAATATACTAGATAGCAGTGGCATATGACATGAGACAATGGGAGTGTGTCAATACTGTAAACACTAGTGGACAATTGTAGCGTAGCAGTTTATAATGCTAAAAGTGCACAATGGGGCACTATCTGGACTGGAGGTTTACTACAGGGCAACAGTTCTAGTCAGAGTGTACCTGAAACAGCACTTTATGCATATATGTGGGCATGTGACTGTGGTTTTGCTGGCATATAACTGTATGGGGACATGTTTATAAGGTGTTAAAAAGGTAGCACAAATGTTATTGTCCATGTTAGCACAGGTGAATAGGTGCAAATTTAAATTAATTTCTCCTTTTAAATGTGAGATTACAGATATTTTTACCTGTTTAATGGTTAATATATATTAATATATATGTATTTACTAGGGTAATCCATATGACACAAAAACTGACATCTAGTTCAGTATAGTTCTTCACTGACACCACAAATTAAATGAAACACAATGAAAACATGGTGGTAAGCTATTATTCAAATTTGTGGAATTTCTAACAAAACATTTTTAGGTAAATTTTTTGTTTAGATGTCCCCTTCAAAAATGGTGAATCTCCCATAGAAATATATACACCCATGCTCTCCACCTGAAATTACGACATCAAACTGAACTACCACCTAGAACATCTAGAACTACCACACCTGACATTCCTATAGGAGCATACACTAGCATAAACAGAGGTAAAGAGAGAGAGAGAGAGAGGGAGGGGGGCACTGGGGCAGAGCTGAGAGAGAGGGAGCAGCTACAACAACATTGCCCTCTGAAGGTCAGCAGAACGTACTGGTAAATGAGTCCTTTGTGTGAAGGGAGAGGGGGGCTGGCTGTTTGGACAACCCCAACAACATGGGGCGACTCCACCTGCACACTTCACCTTTGAGGTTAACAAGGTGTGAAGTCTATCTGAAGACAGGCTAAAAGGCTATTAAAGAGCACACTTCATATTGCTTTATGGGGGTGACATGGAAGATTACACTTAAATAATGTCAAGTTATAGATAAGGAGTTAGCTGTTGAGCACTGGCTTTCCTTGTAAGGGCTATTAAACTAAACATAAACCATACACATATTAGTGATAGAGTGTTTCCCTCAGGTTTTTACAAGACTATGGTGGCCCAGGCAATCCTTATTTGGAAAAACAATAATAAGAATACAAATTTTGGAGTAAATATGTCACTTATTGCTTCTATTAATCCATAATGGCCTGATTAAAGATTAAATAAAGTTGCTTGTTTATATTTGTGATAATACAACAAGCAAAAAAGGGGATTTCATCTTTAATAATCTTTAATACCAATTTATCAGTTTGATTTAGACTAAGGGGGCAAAAATTTGACTATGGAGAGCAGGCATAGTCTCCTCTATAAATGGGAAACATTATACCAATTCTATAACATTAGAAAAAATAAATAGCTATGACTTTAAAGGTACACTGTGACAAGCTAAAGCAAAGGTATTTTCCAAAACAACACAATTTTAATAAGAGGTATCATGTTCTTTCACACATAAATAATAAATTGTCCTCATAGCACAGTACGTGTGAATGAATTATTGTATTAGATATGCAGTGACAAATGGTTTAAACAATAGCCTGCTTTGTTTAGTCTTAGTTAATAGGTAGAAAACAACAAACAACAACAACAACAAAAAACTTTAATGGAACCTAATTACCGCACTAAGTTGAACTTACTTTAAATGGAAAATATGCTGTTCCTTCCCTACATCGATGACACTTGAATGCAACATATGGAAAAATACCCAGTTATCCATGATTCACTGGCCCTGTCATGACTAATTCATCTCAATATGAAGTAGCTACACTCCCACCTTCTTCTACGTCTTAACCACGCTGCATCTGAAGACACAAAATCATTTCTAGTTGTTTGTGTTGTCAGTGAGATACACAAAAACATTCTCCAGTCTGTACCACCTGTGTACACTGTCACTTTGTCCAGACATCTACCCCTTTAAAATTGTTTGCCAGTGACGCAATTTATGAGCTGGCAAAGCCCTGTCCCAACACAGCCATGCCTATTCGCGTCATGATAAGAAGCCTGACAATATTACTCACATGCCCCCGACCTGTTGGCACCATTTCGTACCTGTGTCTGTATTTTACTACCAGTACAAACTAATCAATGCATGGCAAGATACTAAGCATTCTTGCTAAAGTAATAAAGGGTGAAACTTGATATTGATACTAAGGAAAAGTTAGATCATACTCCATATACCATTTTCAATACCACAGTGGAAAAAACATTCTAATTTACACTGGATGAATATATATATTCTACCATGTGATGTTCCTTGTCCTTTGCCATTTCAGTGTAATAATCATTGTATGCACTATAACTTCTAACACAGTGTAGTGATGGTTCTTTAATTTCACAATTTGATGATACTTCTTAAAAAGGAAAAAGAAATACTGGGTTTTGAAACTAGTTTTAGTTTGAATCATTATCTGGATATCTATTTTGTTTCTGTAACAAAAAAGAAATTGGTTTCATTTTCATTTCAATTCCGGAAAGGTATTATCAAAATCACCTTGTACAATCAAAAATAACGTGAGCGGTGGCAAGCTTAGATTGTTTATATCTTGATAGTGAAATAAAAATTACAGTGCAATGTCACCTTGAAGTTCTGTGTTATGTATGTGTTTGTGTCTCTTCCATTCACTAGACCAGGACTAAACCAGGACTACACCAGGATCAAAACAGTTCTACATCATTCACAAATAAACTGGGACCAAACCCAAGTTCAAAGATGAGTATGAACGCAGCCTGCCTGTATATCTGCGATGATCAATTGCCATGAAATGTTCTTTTAACATAAATTGATGACGAGCTACCACAAACCACGCATCACATCATTCATCAGGGTGGCTCCATAAAACGTACAAACCAAGCCTGGACTAAACCAATAAATCTCTATTTACTCAGTCTCTACTATGACACTGCGTTTTATGTGAGCAGCAGAATAAACTTTCTCTGAACTTTTATAGGCTGTCCTTCCTGGTGCAGTTATATATATCAGAAGTAACTGGTGCCGAGTGGCCAAATTAGGAAGGCTTCACAACCAGGTCAGGCCAATGTACCAATGTTTAGAAAGCGGAAAGGGAGTCAGGAAAATAGTACCAAAAACTTTAAGGTGCAATGGTGGAGTTAGGGTAGACTGGGTACTGTTAAAAAGTATATTTTGGTGATGAAGAAAAAAGTACTCATGAACGTTTTTGTAATAATATTCAGTTGTGATCTTTCTGCATTGAGATTATGATTCTTCTGATAGTAGGATTCTGTTAAAAAAATTACAGGAGCATTAACATTTGAGAGAAGATGAAATACATTTTAACTGCTAAACTAATGTAAGAATCCCAGAATCCCAGAATTTCAGAACATATTCATGGAAGACTACTAAATGGTTAGCTGTGCTTTAAAGGTGCATTGTGTAACTTTTCTGGTGGAGGATCCGTCAAATGCTTTTCTTCATGGATATGTTATTGCTTTGTCTAAAATGTTTCACAGCGTGGCATGAAATGTTTCTCTATTCATGTTGACCAAACCAGACCAAGGTACAGGTCAGATCTGTGGAGAGGCAACCCCACTCACAGTTGGAAAGCCTGTTTTTG